ACCTTTCGGCGCCTGCCCCGGCAGCCGCGGGCCGCTCCCCTCAGCGCCATGGCCCGGGCTCTGCGGGGCCACCTGCCTCTGGGGCTGTTCCTGCAGGTTGTTTGCCTCTGCCTGGCTCAAGTAAGTTTATTCTGACTTTGACTCTGTTTTTCTCCCTCGCAGATAAGCCAGACGGTAATCGAGGTAAGTGTGAGGTGCTCCGCGCTCAGGCTAAGGGTGTGGGTGAAGAGACTGAAGGCCGCCCTCTGTCCGGCCCTGGCACCGACCCCCGGCAGGGTTTTCCACCCTTTTCTCCCCCCCGGTAGCTGTAGCTGACCCTGAGGTGGTGCTGGCAAAGGCGAGTTGGCTGCAGGGCGGTGGGTGCCGTGTGTGTGTGTGTGTGCGTGTGCGTGTGTGCCTTCGCGGTGCTACCTGGTGGGCATCAGGCGGGCGCCTGGTGACATGGCAGGGCTCGGGCTCCATCCGCAACTGCCGCCGGATGGATTATTACTGGGAAGGCTGCTGTGCCGAGGAAAGGTGTCCAGAGCAGCAGCTCTGTGGGGAGAAAGGGGCCAGGCTCAGGGCCCTGGGCCAGCCTCCCGATCACAGAGCACCGTTGTGGGCCGCGGCTGGAGCTTTCTCAGAGAACAGAGCCCCCCATTATGGGTGCGGAGACCTGTAAAAACCTTTCTCTGGGTTTCCACAGGCTGGTGGCGCCTCCCGCCTCCCCCTTGGGAGCCTGGCGCTTTGAGAAAGCGCCTCTGTAGATGCTAATGTCATCCTGAGGAACCAGGGGAAACCGCCGAGCCCGTCGGTGAAGTAGCAAAACAGTTGTTCTAAATTTTCTTCGCTAGCACGAGCTCTTAGGAAGACTGTCTCCTTTGTGTTGGCTGAATGAGTAATTAGAGTAGCTTAGTGAATTTCGGTGTTCGATTGGCAAAGATCACTGTCTCTTATTTCTGCCTCCCTGTCATGGCCACACACTGTTCAGGTCCTGCTGAGTCAGGGAGTTGAGCCCCCCCTCCCCCTTGCCCTGGCCCTGCCTGTATTGCGGGGCACAGGAGGGCGGCTGGGCCCAGGTAGCGGGGTTTAACACCTCATCCCCATTCTGCCCACAAGGGGAGCGTTGCCAGTCATCTCAGTGACAGCTAAGATGGGAACTGTGGGTCCTGTCACGCATGGAGTGAGGACACAGCTCCTTGTCACAGCTATGACCTCCTGGCTAACCCACAGAAGCAGCCTCTTGTTCTGCCAGTCCCCCCAGACTGGCTCTCACAGGTTTGCCAGGACTTAATTGCACCTTTTTTATTTCTTACTCCTTGTCAGAGAGGTCTCCCCGGTCCACCAGGCCCCCCAGGTCCGCCAGGGCCACCAGGAGTTCCCGGCATTGATGGCATTGATGTAAGTGTTTCCCATGCTGTGCCTAGGAAATAAGAAACGCCTCGAGCTGTACCTGCATTGTCCTCACTGTCAGCATTTGCCCCTGAGGAGTTTGGATTTGGTTGGAGACCCACACAGGAACTGATGGGTCTCATATTCTGTATCGGGCTGGGGCGAGGGGAGAAGGGGGCTTTCCAGATTGTCTCTGATATGGAAAATACAGGATTATTTATTTTGTGTAATCAGCATCATATGCTATGATTATTTGCCTTAAATGAGGTGTAGGGGTTTTATAATTCTAGTCTCAAAAGGGACTATGAAGTATTGTTCATACTAAAGCACAATAAGGATTTGTGGCATTATGGCAATATATAGGAGCCACTCTTTATTTTCCCCCATTCCTGTCAGAAGTTTCTGTGATTATTTGTTAGTCTATATTAGACATCACATGGCTTTAATATTAATATTTAAAATAGTAAATAATTAATATTAATACAATATGAATCAGTTTGGGATTATTCCTGATAATCTGTAAATCAGTGTTTTTCATGAAGGGCCATAAAAGGTCACTGTAGCTTTGAGTAATACCTTCCTTTTCGTATCTTGTTAGGGGGAGAGAGGTCCGAACGGCCCCCCGGGTCCTCCGGTAAGTGGTCGCAGCTACTTTGCATTCGCTCCTGTGAGAGAAGAGGTTTTGAGTTTTGTTTCTACTTCCCTCTCTGAAACGCACTTAACTATCCATTTAAATCCTGAAGGGCCCAGATGGGGATGCAGGGAAACCAGGATCCCCTGGCCTGCCTGGAGAGC